TTGTAATTATATTTTTAAATATTTTATTTGATCAATTCTTTAATTGTAAATTTTATTATTCAATATTGTTATGAATTTCTAATGAAATAATTTTTTTGATGTTTATTAATAATACTAGTTTTTTACGCGCATTGTGCGATTGGGATAATGCCCAATGTTTTTTTTTTTTAAATAAGTACTTTAAAGTATATTAAGACAGGATTATATTGAAATTGTTCATGCATCGATAATTGAAGGTTGAATTTGCGTATTTAAATAGGTAATTCTTCTCCCAAAGGTTGAGTCCCCAACCCCAAGGGCCCCCCACACTCCGGCCCGACAGAGCATTGTGGGAAGTTGTAAATCATGGTGACTCAATGGTTCAGCAGACAGGGTCAAATGCTGATACGCACAAGGAATCTGCCCACTTTGGACATAATTCCCGCACTGCCACCGCCGAGGTTCAAACCTTGGTCTCTTCTCCCAAATACTACCCACTAAACCATTGAGCTAAGCCCGTGCGGATTAAATAGGTAATTCTAAGTTTACAAATGCAAGATAATATAGTCAAGATTGATTATAATTGTCGATAAAATAATTGTATAGGTATGGTTGAAACCAAATATGGGACATAAGGGAGAACAAATAAAAATTAGGGCATAAAATATTAAATATATACTAATATTATTTCAGAAGATTCCGACATTAGGATTTGTGGTTAAGTTCTATTAAGACTTTAATATTAGAATTAGATTAATGGTGTTGTTATGATTCTATATTAGACTTTAATATTAGAATTAGACTAAGGGTGAATTAACGGAAAAATTAAATGGATAATCATATAATTAAGGATAAATTAGAAAATCTTAAAAGAAAAAAAATTAAAACCTGAACAATATGAACCATTCATTTGATTTAATAATTTGGCGGTCATTTTTTCTACCCAATGTTAATAATTAAATAAATTCGCTGGTCAAATCCACTAACGCTAACCGCTAACTGCTGATTGTCAAACAAGGACATTGCGAGATAGTTCTCACTTCAATTTGTTGTGTGATTTGAATACTCTCTTTGTCACAAAATCTCTCAAGTAGTTAATATGGTTGGCTTTATTAATTTTTTTTTTAATTTTTTCATGGTATTAATAAAATACTTGGTAAATAAATATATAGCATTGTTTTGTATTATAACTTTGATATTTAATTAGAAAAACAGTGCACAAAAAAGATAATAGATAATGTAGTGAATATAATCAATTGATGAATTTGAATGTAAAAACTTTACATTTGAGAAAAATAAAGACAATATAACTAATGAAAATATTTCTTTTAATTAATTTATTGATAATTAATAATTTTTTTTCACTGAATAAAGACATTGTAAGGATAATGTAGCGAATGTAATCAATTAATAAATTTGAATATAAAGAATTTTTATATTGAAGAAAAATAAAGACAATATAACTAATAAAATTATTTCTCTTATTTAATTTATTGATAATGAATATTTTTTTTTTTTTGAATAAAGGCATTGTGGACACATAATTATAAATTAAAGAAATGCATATGTATTATTTTTTGTTGTAACTACTAAATTATTATTTATATAATTTAATAAGAGTAAAATAGAGTACTAATTATGCCAACTTTGATTGGGATGAGGTTCGAACCTAAGACCTTTTTCTATTGAAATCAATGAGTAAGTTAACGGTGAACTAACGGCAATTCTTAAAATTTTAACGGAATTAGTAACGGTGTGTGGGTATTATAGGAAATTTTAGTGTAAAATTTAAATCTGATCAATCTTTCAATCAATCTGAGCCATTCATTTGATTAAAATCTGTGACCGCCATTTTTTCTACCCATTATAGGCCTAACTCTCTTGGGCTCTTATTAGTATAGTAGATACACACACACACACACACACACACACACACACACACACACACACACACACACACACACACACACACACACACACACACACATATATATATATATATATATATATAAGTAATTAGCATATAAGTCTCAACATGCATACTATGGAGATAAATAATAATGTTCAGAATGTTGATGTGGGTGAAGAACTATATAATAAGAAAATTTTATGATATATTATAAATATTTTGTAAAAAAATTATATAAATGATAAGAATCAAAATCATTGAAGGTTTGTAAGAATATATTCGATTTAGAATTTCAATGACTTTTGTAGACTTTTTAAAATAAAAAGTTGATAAAAGTCTATGAATGTTTTTTATATAGACTTTTATAGTCTTATAAAATTTTAAAAAATTTTTAACGACTCTATGAAAGTCAATCAAAGTTTATTAAAATCTCATTTAAAAAGTCTTTAAAACTCTACAAAAGTCATGATTGAATACACCCCTTTAAATTCTTTAGGTTGTAAATGTTTGAGAAAATTAAATTTGATAAAATAATGAAAATCACGACCAAAATATAATGAAATTACTTATCTATAACTAAATTTAGAAAATCATTAAATTAAAGTCGAGTAAATCTTTAAAAAATCATTAAAGTAGAGTAAATATGCTATTAATTAACTTTTAATGGTCGGCAATTTAGTAGTAGTACCTGGTGGCAATTAATCTCTCAACCAGAAAAGAAAATTTTGACGCCGTTATGAAGTAGCAGTAAAAACGTGGGAAAAAAATCATTGCTTTACCTATCACTTCAATTCATTGCATTGTTTCCTTCAGTAAGTTCTGACATTAAATTTTCACTGCTCATTTTGTATTCAATTGCAGTCTGAAGGGCTTTGGCATTAAATTTTTCGAGAAGTCCCAAATTATTGGTCTAGTGATGTTTCACCATAACAAAATGCACATTTTTTATATACTAAAAGTACATTATTTTTGTACTGAATGTACATTATATAAAATAATGTATTTTTCGTACTCAAATAATGTACTTTTTCTGAATACAATGTACATTTTTAATATATTAAAAGTATATTATTTGTTGTTTAAAAAAAATATATTATTTGCGTACTGAATATACATTATTTGATAGTATGGTCTGTACAGGTATGTGGACCATGATCCACACAATAATTATTGCCAACTAATAATCTTTTTATGGGCAATTATCAGTCAAATTAATCAAATAAGTGGTTTGATTAACAAAATTTTAAATTTAACTTATCATTAGAACTGTTTATTATTATTATTATTTTTTTTAATTTGAGTCATTAGTGTTGTAAAGCCTTATGTGGACATTATTCTGGCTTTATATTGATGATAGGATTCTTGTAGGAGTCCTAATTCTGTAAGAGTCGTGAAGGCTATTATGATAGAGATGTTATATATACAATTATAATGTTGTACAGAGTTTTTCCCCTGGATGATAATAAGAATTACTTTTCTCTGTCTATTCTCTGTTCTTATTTTTGTTCAACAATTAGTCAATTATGAACAATTTAAGGTTACTTTCTTTTAATCCTTTACCGATTAAGATTACTATGTGAAGTTCATCCAAAGCACGCATTTAATTAGTAATTGTGAGATTTCTCGTAAATTTAAGTAATAATTTTTTCTGATGTTATTTCACTGGGTGTTGCTATTTGCACCATCCTTTGACCAAAAATGGTATAAAGTATCTTTGAAAGTGTAAAAAGATGAAACTTTTCATAATTATATAGGTGGTGTAAATAGCCAAATGAGAGTTCATTTTGCTATTTGCAACACCTTGGTCAAACCTCACTTATGAGTTATAATTAATAATTTTATAATTTAATTACAAAACATTAAATAATTTTTTTTTCAAAAAAAAAAAAAAAAAAAAAAAAAGAGGAAGAAGATGAAGCGTCACCTTCTCCGGTGAGAAGGCAGCCCAATGGGTCGCTTTCTCACCAGAGAAGGCGACCCAGGTATAACCTAAAGGTTCCTATTAAATTTTAATTCAATTATTAAACTGGACTAGCTCGAGGACTACCCCAGACAGAATAAAGAAAATAAATGTGAAAGCAATGAATGGAACCGTGCACCAGGAAATGTTTACGCAGTTCGTAGCCTCACTCCTAGGTCTGCGGGGTTACTCACATCAACCCAAATTCACTAGATGATAAACAGGAGTACAAACAAAGAGTACATTACACACTAATGTATAAACTACAACTACTCCAGAACCTACTCCAGTTGCATCGTGGACTCGATGTGCATGCGATCTTCTTCACACCATGAACCAGTTGAGGCACCTTTTTCACTCATAGCAGTTTAGCAAATAACCAGAACAAAGGGTAAGGAATAATGTTGATAGATAGGCTTGTTAAAGTACAAAATAAAATGGTAAACAAAGTAGCATTTTATAGAGGTATTGTAAAGCCTCCTTGATCCGAAATCATGCAGCCATTAACTCCTCAATTCAAGCTGTTCCTCTTGATTTAAAACACCTTGTAAATAGGGTCTTGATCGAAATATAATGTTGAATGAGCTTCACCTCTCCTGACTTACTTTTTGGCGCTGATCCAGACTCTACTGACACAGATACTGGACTAGGTCCAGAACCTAACCAATAATTATTTTGACAACTAATTTGAGCCAACTTTAAGTGGATTTAATGTGTAACATTTTTACACTTACAATCTCCCCCTTTGGCTATTAATTGACAAAAAAAACAAAACAAACAACCAAATGTACTCATAGGCTTTTATATATATATATATATATATATATATATATATATATATATATATATATATATATATATATATATATATATATATATATATATATATTAAAAAAAACATTATTCGCCAATTAAGTAAATTTGCTTACAGGGCTTAGACGCTAGAGTTGGATCAGACAGACGCCAGGAGCAGTTCTTCAAAACACACACTTTTAACAGAGATCTTCAACAAGTACCCCAAACCGTAAGGTAGTCGACGGTTTGCCAAAGAACTGATAAACCACATACAACACAAACACACAAACCACATAAGCAAGCAACTGCACATAACACACATACCACATAGATAACCAATAACCAACTAAACAAATTATCATTTAAGCATAAAACATAGATCAAGTTCTCAACTAGCAAACACAACTAGCAAGCAACAACAAAAAAAAAATAATAAGCACTTATTTTGCAGTTCAATGGCAACCATTGTCAACCATCCATACTACTCCCCCTTACTACGCACTCCACCTTTTTGTCAAGCTAATGGGCAAAGTGAAGCTTCTAGTCATCAGAACTGTGGGCAGAGGAGGTATTGTCTACATCATCCTCAGCAGTTGGAGCAGTACGAGCAGCTTCTTCCAGTGTGGCAATTTGACGTTGAGTGCAAACCACCCTATCTTCAGCGTTGGAGATGGATGTCTGAAGCGAAACAACATTTATCTTTAAGCCCGAGATTAGAGATATGAGGAACTCAGCTTGTTGGTGAAGAGCCATTAGTTCTGGTGAAGCCGCTGGATCAGAGGCAGAGTGAGGCCTGGCTGAGGAAGAACCTGAGGCAGTGGAGGCGAGAGCTGCAGAACCTGGAGTAGGCATAGAGGAGAGAGTGGACATGTCATCAAAGTGAGTGCCCTGGAAGAGGCGAGAGTCCATGGCATGCTTGTGAGTAACTTGGCAGAGGGGCTCATTCAAATATAACTTTAGCCCTTGAGATTGCAGAACTCCAGTGATTAAACACGGAAAAGGGAGGTGAATATTCGCTTCCTTCTTCTTCGTGAATCCCATAATATGATGGTAGATCAGATAACCGAGCTCAACTCCATTTGATGATGAACTTTGTACAAGAGGGATGCCATCTTCTTAGTCATAGTATGGAGAGACACATTCGGCAGCCAGTTACTTGATGCCAAATGAAATATCATAGAATAAACTGCAGTGAGAACATTTGAAGGGATACCATCTTTCGGCCATGTGTCGTGCACATTATGAGTGAGTTGAGAGGCCAAGAGATCACTTGCAGGCTCAAATGAATCATCCAAAGCAGTTTTGTGGAAGTATGCATTAATTATGGTTGGACTAAAATCATACCATGTATTCCTCACAAATACTTGATGATAATGGTTGGAAGAGGGAAGCATGGTGTCAGCCATTAGGTTTGCGTAGAATTCCGGGATAAGCCAAGCTGAATAGGAGCCAACATCTTGAATGGTCTGAAGTGGATTTTGGCTACGCAATAAAGGAATCACATTGCAATGAGTGAACAAATAGACAACATCATAGTTTTTTCCCACAAGAATGCTTCGTGCAGAATGCACCGTCCATAGATCTTCCAGGTCAGGAGATAAGAGAATAGGCTGGAAAGGTTTCTCCTGGAGGCTTTTGCTGATTTAGACTTGGATGGCTTAGACGTAGCAGCTGACTTTGGTGGTTTGGAGACTAGAGCAGAGGCAGGAGGGATACTGGAATGGAGGCCCTAGTCTTAGATCTGGTACGAAGTGCAAGTCCAGAGAGGCGTTGTGAGCCAGTCCTTTTGCTTGGTCTGGTCTTAGACAAAAATTCCACTTCATCTGACACAATAAGCTTCCTTTTAGCTACTGGAGCTGAGGCAGGTTCACCTGGATCAGTGACCTTAGCTTTCCCTTTGTCAGATGTTGTGAATGACACTGTGATAACGAGAACAGATTTCGTGAAACAAGGAATATTTGGGAGATTAGCAATCAGATCATATAGGATGGCTGCTTGTACTGAGGCACTTTGATCATTTAAATTAGTAACGATATCTCGAATAGAAACTCTAGTGGTCACTGGAGTAGAGCCTGGAGCAGATTGAGACTCTGGCATAGAGGGTATAACAACTTCTGATTGTCTTGGCAGAGGTCCAGAATACACAATTGTGGACACGGACACAATAGATAAGCCTTCAGAAGGATCCTTTAAAACAACAAACGACAGATAGAGCAGCCAAAGAATATACAACAACCCCTAATCAGATAAATTAAAAAAAAGACCTAAATCTAGGCAACAAGCAATTGCCACTAAAAGTGAGAAATACAATACGTAGGCTGAGGCTCTGCTTTCCAAGCTCGAAGATCAGCAAGAATGTCTTCTTCATTTACCATTCCTTCATCCAGAGACCAGGGTTCCATAGTAATCCTAGTAGCTTTTTCGTAGATAGCCTTGGACTCACGTATGGAGAGCTCCTCTATGAGAGATGGATGCCAGATCAGAGTGGCGAGAGCCCTCATAGTGAACAGGTCAGAGAGAGGAGCTGTGCCGTGAAGGATTTGGTGATAAAGATCAGCTCTTTCATCCTCAGTAACATAAATTAGGAAAGGATTAATGTGGGAATTTGGGGAATCAGACGCCATTATTGAGAAATTGAAGGTTTAGATGAGAAGATTGTGATTCGATCAAGGGTTAGGCAAACAGATTTTGGGCATTTTAAGGGAGTTGAAAAGAGGAAAATAGGGATTTGATCTGAGAAGGAAGGTATGGCCGAGGAATTTTTCACAAGATTTAAGGGAAGAAAATGTATCCTTAAACCGGTCGGGTTTATCTGGTTTATTTGGGGCTTCTTAAACCTGTATCACGTCTTAGAGTAGGTCCAGCCCTGCAAAAAAAAAAAACTTAAACTACTGGATAAAAAAAATATGATTTACCTGATTTTATTTTGACGTCCTGGAAAATGGCCTGGAGTTGGACTAGGACTGTGAAACAAAAAAAAAAAAAAATGAAGAAAAAAATGTTATTTAGTGAGAAAAATTATTTCTTGACCTTTATTTAAGAAGAATACGCTTTAGTTCGAAATTTTGCAGACTCCTGCTGATTTAACTTTTACGTTTGGTAAACCCCGCACACCATCAATCTTGACCAATTTATCAAGGGAGCAATAGTTTAGGTGACCTAATTTTTGATGCCATAACTTGGATTCCTCAATGCTGGACCTGCAACAGAAGATATCATTAGTAAGAGTATAACAGTTGTCAAAAGAACGTTTACCTTCCATGACACAGTGTTTCTGATGGTCCATGGCGTTGCAGTTGTCTTTTGTGAAACATACTTTCCACTCTTGATCACACAACTGACTTATACTTATGAGGTTTGCATGAAGACCTTCTACTAGAAGAACTTGTTTCAGTTTGGGCAAACCTTGAACACTTAGAGTACCAACTCCTGTGATTTTTCCTTTGACACCATCGCCAAAAGTTACTTATCCCTTACTTCCTTTTATGTTGTTTAAGAATGTTGCATTTCCTGTCATGTGACGTGAACAACCACTGTCAAAGTACTACCTTTCTTCTCTATTTGAACTTGTAGAGTGAAACGAGACACGACATACAAAGTCACTTTTTCTCACCCAGATTTGATTAACAAACGGGGTGATGAATCTTTGGGTGTACTTCTTGACCCTTTGGTCTTTATAGAAGTAAAAACATTCTGGTCTCGTGTATCCTCGAATCCTGCAATAGTGACAAATGAGATTATAATAGTTAAACTTAGATGTTCTTTTACTCAGAACAGTTTTGACTTCTACTCGTGCTGTACTGGTTTCTAGAATATCTTGTTCTGGTCCAGTTGCTGTATCAGGGCCAGTAGCTTTGACAAATACCGTCACAACCTTGTCTTTTCCTTCAGAAAAGCCCAAACCATATTTTGTAGTGGTTTTTCGACCAGAATCCAAGATTTGGTCTAATGTGGATGTAGTGTCCAACATTTTAATCCCCCTTTTGAGCATGTCCAATTCTTGTTTGAGTCCTTCTTCGCGATTAAGGCCTTCTTTGATGAGGTTGTCCCTGTCAGCAATTTGATTTTGATACACTTTCCTAGCATTCTCTAAATTGCTAACTTGACTAGACAGAGTTCTATTAACTTTTACAAGAATTTCCCATTTGGCATACAATTTTTTATATTCTACTTCAAATGAGGGAACTGGTAAATCATGGTCTTCAGCTGACACATATTCTCCAGCTTCTGAGTCTACTTCAGCTTCTGGGTCAGACTCCACGTTGGCTATTGCAGTGAATGCCACAAAGTTCCCTGAGAACTCTTCTGAATCAGATCCTGAATCAGGTTCAGGTTCAGTTTCGTCGTCATCACTCCAGGTTAGAGAAACTTTCATTGATTTCTTACGCCTTAGGTACGTCGGGGACTTGACTTGAACATGACCGAACCCTTCACATTCATAGCACTTAATCCCTTTACCTCCAGATTTTTCCTTGGACTGGGCATTTCATGAAGAAATTTGGCGTAGATTAGATGATCCGGGTTTTTGAGTGTTTCGGACAGTACTTGATCCAGGACCTTCCTGGTTTTGAGGTTTGCCAATTCTTGCATATTGCCGTTGCTTTACCTGTTTCAACAATTTCAAAATGCCTTAAGATAAAAATACCACAGGATTATCACTTACCTCATCTGGATCGGATCCAGCGTCTGTATCTTCAGCGGTGAAAGCTACGGTTTTCCCTTTAGTTTCCTGTCCAGCTAATATTTCCATCTCATAAGTCTGCAAGCTCCCCATTAGCTGTTGTACAGTTTTCTTTACCCAACCATCATGCTCTTGGTTAGCCGTGACCTTCATCCTAAATCGAGGAAGGAGTGAGCGCAGGATTTTTTTGACAAGTTTAGGTTGAGGGAAAGGTTCGCCTAAGATACTTGCACGGTTTGCTAATTCTTGAACACGAGCATGAAAATCAACAATTGATTCATCGTCTCTCATCTTTAGATCTTCAAAGTCGGATTGGACCATTTGAAGTTTGGACTGTTTGACTGAGGCAGTCCCTTCATAAGTCGTTTCCAAAGCTTCCCATGCCTCTTTAGCGGAGTCACACCCTGCAACAATCGTAAACTAACTCTCATGCATTAACAAAAAAAATAGTGTCTAAAGCTTTATGGTTGTAGCTTGCGGTAATCATCTCAGCATCTGACCATTCTTACTCTGGTTTGAGGACTGGAGGATATTCTGAAGTGTCTCCATCTTTGGTAGGATGAGTCCACCCAGTAAGAACATCCCTCCAGACCCTCTCCCCTTGAGCTCGTAGGTGCATTTTGGTGCGGGCCTTCCAGTACGCATAGTTGTCACATGTAAATTCAGGAGGTGCTCTATGTCGCTCCATTCTGCAAGACTCAATGCACAGTAAGCTAAAGAAGAATAACCAGACAAATAGAATAAAGATAAGAAAATGAGTTCTTGAGTCTATGAAACACGAGATAGCCAGATCGGTTAGACTAATAATTTAAGTCCCCGTGCACTGAAACCAAGTGCAAAATCTCGTGGATCTTGAATGCAAGATATAACCTTAAGCTTCCTATTAAATTTTAATTCAATTATTAAACAGGACTACTCCAGACAGAATAAAGAAAATAAATGTGAAAGCAATAAATGGAACCATGCACCAGGAAATGTTTACGCAGTTCGGAGCCTCACTCCTACGTCTGCGGGGCCACTCACATCAACCCAAATCCACTAGATCATAAACAGGAGTACAAACGGAGAGTACATTACACACTAATGTATAAACTACAACTACTCCATAACCTACTCCAGCTGCATCGTGGACTCGATGTGCAGGCGATCTTCTTCACACCATGAACCAGTTGAGGCACCTTCTTCACTCGATGTGCAAATAACCAGAACAAAGGGAAAGAATAATCTCGATAGATAGGCTTGTTAAAGTACAAATTAAAATGGTAAACAAAGTAGCATTTTATAGAGGTATTGTAAAGCCTTCTTGATCCGAAATCATGCAGCCCTTAACTCCTCAATTTTAGCTGCTCCTCTTGATTTAAAACACCACTTAAATAAGGTCTTGACCGAAATGTAATGTTGAATGAGCTTCACTTCTTCTGACCTACTTCCTGGCGTTGATCCAGACTCTACTGACATATATACTGGACTAGGTCCAGAACCTAACCAATAATTATTTTGACAACTAATTTGAGCCAACTTTAAGTGGGTTTAATGTGTAACATTTTTACACTTACAATATATATATATATATATATATATATATATATATATATATATATATATATATATATATATATATATATAACCATTAATTAATTCATGTGTGTTTTTCATTTGAAAAATGGATATTTTTCCATTTATCAAATGAACTTTTGAAACCACTTTGTTATGAATTTATTTATTAAGTAAAAAAAATGTTTTTATTGTTTTTATTTTATTTTTAATTTTGAATACAAAGTAATTTTTTTTTCCATTTTTTTTACATCTATTGAACATGTTATATGTTAGGAACAAGTGTTAGATCTTGATGATACCAAAGTTACGAAATTTTAATCCCCAAATTTGTTTTACTTTTCAGACTTAGGAACTCTTGCTACTCTATTTGAATAGTCTGAAACTCTGAATAGTAACTCAAATGGTTACCTTTCGGATGGTCAGCAAAAAAGCCTACAAGGAAGCTTTGAAGAGTTCAAGACCTGAAGAGTTCAAGATGAAGAGTGGAAGTCAAAGAGTACAAAACCGGAAGGTTACAAAGGTCGAAGAGTGGAAGGGCTTACCTTGCCGAATAGAGGAGATTTGTAGTAGAATATCAAATAGTAAGGTCAACTATTCGAATTCAAAATGTTGTAAGCTTAAGGTTCGAAACATTAACTCGAATGGTAAAAGTTAACTGTTCAATGGAATTGCTCGAGACATTCTTTGAGCAATAAACAATTCACAACCTTAAACAAACAAAGCTTTATGAGAAAATGTTACCAAGGTAAAAGGAGTGTTCAACAAAGGTGCAGCACAAAAAGCAATGTTCAACAAATTAATGTGTGTCAATGGCTGGAAAATCTGACAAAAAATAACTTTTTGAATTGTTCACTAGTAAATATCCAAAGGGTAATAGATGTTTGAAATAAATTTTCCTCCAACAGATTTATTTCAAGTTGCCTATAAAGACCTTCATTCAAGACTTAAGAAGATATTGGTCTTTAACGTTAAAACATACAAGTGTTCAAAAAGCTTTCAAGTGCAAATATCAAGTGACCAGTGAGAGAGATTTCAAGCTTAAACGCTACATCCAGTAAAGACTTGTGCTGCAAATAGTGAAGATCAAGACTACATTCAAGAAGCTAAGTCTACGTGTTGGAGAATCAAAGATTTTATTCAAAAATCTGTATCTCTACTCGATAGAAGTAGAAAGAGGTGGAGTAAACTTGTGTGGAATTGAAAAACGTAGATACTCAAGGCCAGCTTTGTGTTCAAGGCTTGAGTGATCTTTTTGTATTAAAGGGTTTAGTACAATCCTCATTAGAGTTTAAAGAGAAGAGTGGAGTATGCTGGGTTTTGGTCGAACCACTATAAAATCTTTGTCTCTCTATCTTTTACTTTCAAGCATTTACGTTATCACGCAAACAAAACTTACATTTCGACAAGATAAAATTTACGTGCAAAACTAAGTAAAAGGGGGTTAAAATATTTCTGCTACACAACTCTTACGGAAGGTTGATCGGATCAAGTTCACTCTTCGATTGAATTGATGGAATTGCAATTCCTTCCAACCAAAC